CTACAGACTTCTGCTATTAAAGTCAATTAGTAAAAGTCAACCTCCCTCTTTCATGCCCTATTCACTCTCTGGAAGAGGCGGAGGCAGTCAGGAGTGGTCCGATGATAGCACATGTCGAAGACAGGCATCCGCTGAAAGAGCTGTCGATGACCTCGAAGATTGCTTGAAGGCAAATTGATGGCGATTCTCTGACATGCGCCGAAATGAACAAATCGTGAAGGGATTGGCTGGTCCACTAGCAAAGTCGAACCTTCGACATCCTTCATAAGATTAATACTGCTTGCCATTACACTATCTCATCAGCGTCACACTCCGGTCCGCTTTTCCCAAGACATATCCCGTGTCCCCCACTGGGTGGGCCCCTGTTTTTTTTTTTTTTTCGAATGCATAAGACTAGCATACAAGTAGCTGAAGAATTTCGGATGTGAATCTGGATGCTGTTTGGATGAGTTGGAGTGCGCACGAGTAGCTGTGCTTGCTTGCACACAAAGTTGGGGTGCAATGCACGGCAAACGAAAGCTTGGGACAGGTTGGCCGTTCGAGCGCCTGCTTAAAGTTTCAACTCGAAACAGCTGCTATCTGATCGCTGTGCCATTGACAAATCTCGCTAGTAACGTTTCCATTCTCTTTGGCTGCGTGTGGGTTCTGTCCTGTACAGGCTCAGTATACATTTTCGAGAAGATCCTTCCATTTCGTTAGCGTTCTTCTCACGTCTAACGTTGAAGGGGTATCGAAAAACAGTCTGCTTCATCCATCTGTGGTCTTCTCGCTCTTTAACACATGGCACTTCGGGAAACATTGACGAGACTTGATGGGTCGAAACATTCCTGTTCATTCAATTTTTTAACATAATTCTATGTTTTTATATATATTATAATTAATACCTCTGGTATGTTGCTTTGCTCCGGCCAGTTTTTATTTTCTTGTGATTTCCCAAGAAGTAGTCTCCGTGTGCGAACTCATTTCTCGTGCCTGACCCTTTTGAAGCGAAACTGCTAGCGATCACCCAGCATGCTCATGCAAGCCTTAGAAAGGAGCTGGCCCTTTAGTGCGATCCAGATGAAATTAGCCCTCCTTTTTCAGACAATAGGAGATAACTATTATGAAGGGCACGGAGCATTTTAATCATTTGGAATTTGCATGTTCAGCACAAAATGGAAAAGAACACTTATCAGGAACACGAGGCATTTTGTACAAGTGGTGTCGGAACCAAGAGGCTTCCCTGCCGGGGACTATGTGGGCCATTGATGTCCATGTAAATGGCAGTGACTTCCAGGATGCGAAACATGGTCACAGACAGAAGCAAAAGCACTGAGTGCGACAGAGAGAGCGATGGAACAGAGGATGTTTGAAGTGCCTCTGTGTGGCCGTACAGAGAAGAAAACTTGTCTCGGATGTGTGTTTTCCAGGATGCGGCCGTGATCATCCAAAGTAAAATCTCTCTGCTGGGCAGCACACATTCACAAAATGTTCTGGTGATGGGTGGATTTTGTGTAACAGCGGTCAGGCAAAAGTAGTTGGGACTGTAGTTGAGGGCGATGCAATTTGTGGGTGACAAGTGGGGGCAGATAATGAGCGCTGATAAGATGTGATATTTAGCAGCGTGCGGTGTGTGCTTGTGCCTCATTAACATTTGGAGTTCCAAATCTGTCCGTCCACTTGGCATGATCAGTCCGAATGGATCTTCACCAAATTCAGAAGTGGGCGAAAGACTTCCCGATTTGACCGTATCTCGAGTTTATCGCACATCATCTCATCTCGAGTTTATTGCGCATCACACCATCGTTCTAGCTCCTTCCAGAGACCACCCATGCGTCCGCAACAGTTTTTTCTTTCCTTTTGCCTACTTCTGCTGCTCAATCAGTCATTTCCTAAACGCTGCTGCGCTTTGGTACTTTAAAAGCTGATGAAAGTGCCTATTTTTGGACGTTTGTTTAAAAGTCTTTGTGACCACACAGTAAACATTTTTGCTTAGTCAATCTTAGGATAGCAGTAGCGGGCACACAACTCATCCTGGTTTTTTCTCTAGCAAACAGTTGTGGGAAACCAATAAGCGCCCAAGAAACGATCCATCTTCCTGAAATAGCGAACTCAGTGCTCGTTCCACTTTGTTGCTCTTATTTCTGATGTTCGCATTTGAGGTTTCGTACTTTCGGATGCCTTCTGCGGTGTCAGGGCTGTGTGGATACATCAATGAAATTTTCCAGGTACGCTGTGCAATTGCAGGATTGACGAGTTTCGCCTTCACTGCTTTCATACATTTTCGTCAATTCTATATTGATAAATAATGGTTAGTTTTAACTTGTCATTATTATTCTTTTTTTTTTTTCTAGTATTTCGACTTCAACCACGAAATTTTTTCTACTTTATCAGGCAATTTGTTCATAATCTTCTGGGCAAGCTTTTGCTTATCGTCTTTAAAATCTATCCGTAGTTTTGTGTTTATTATCTAGCAGATATTAGTAAAATAGTAACATAAAGCGAGTTTTGCTTCTACAACCTATAATTTTTGGATAGGGAATTCACAAACCGTAACAAATTACTTCCTACATTGCTTTGGTGCAGCTGCTGCGGGAGACAGAACAACGACAGCGAATACGAAGAAGTAAAAATTGTTCGGTATAAAAGAATGAAAGCCTTGCAGTCTTAGAGCAATATATTCTCGAAATTTTTAAATCCGAACATTCGTGACAGTCCAGTCCAAGTCACACTGAAAAATACTCTTTAAAGGAGTGACTGACCAACCTAAGAAATTTCTGATTTCTTGTTTCGCGTAGGTACTGAAAAGGGCAGTGCAAATAAGCACCAGATAGGCTTGCTTCTTTTCTGATTGATACCACGTGTTTGTGGTTTGAAGCTTGTTACCAGTGAGTGTGCTTTTTATCAAAAGTGTTTCCAGAACTGAGGTATGGGAAAATTTGGCAGAAAAAGCTGGAAAGGAATTATTGTAGTGATTCCAAAGTATACCTCATTTCGGGCACATGAATGACCCTTTTATTTAAAAACTTGGCAGTGCATCTCACTGTCAATCCGGAGTAGCTGGGATGTGATTAAATAACCGGAAGATATGATAACTTCGGATTTTCATGCAATTTGGGATGAGTCACGCATGGATATTTCTTGTGAAATCAGGTCCGCGGCTCATTGAAATTCTAGGGAGGAAGATTATCCCTTCCACACTTCCAACGATTGCCAGCTGTTACTGGATTGTTATTTTTACAGCTGTTTCTTGTAGATTACTGAGTTTAGATGATTCCTAGCGCCTTCACTTCAAGTGTAACTTTTCCTATTTTTATGTTTCTCAAGTTTTTTTTTTTCAATTTCTCAAGCTCCTCTCTGGTGGGCATCCAGCACATTGTTTTGGAGACTTTTTTTTTCTCTGTTTCGCAGTGTCGCTTCTTGAGTAACTGCCGAAGGAACGGTGTATAAAATATCAAACGATCACATGGCTGTGTCTTACGTTTCTTGGATTTCCCTTGGATAAAAGTGATTTTTGGTCTTTATTTCGTACGTCGACACATGACGATGGCTTCTGCTTCAATTCACACTGTTATTGGTAAAATCAGTGAATGGGCAACGAGAGATAAGTTGCGGGACAGCTGACGTACACTGTGCTTCTGCTTCTGATTTTCAGGATCGGGAAAGTCCCCTTGCTTGATTGATTGATTTTCCACTGGTGGACCTATTAAAAATACTGATGTCTACCTATTTTAAAATTTTTTAAAGAATTTCTGTTCGGGAGCTTGAGTTGATCATAAGAGATTTTTTCGTGATAACCAGCGCAAGTCCACAAACGATTTATCTTTCTGAGTCAGTTGTGGCAGTTGCAGTTCGCGCCGTGCTTTCTTTCCCCGATGCGAATCAGGTTTTACTCCTAGTACGATCCTTTTTTTTTTAAACCTGCATTTATCGACGTCCTAACATTTTTTGGCCTAATTCACTGGTAATTGGAACAGTTCCTGTTTTACCACCGCTTTGAAAAGCCTTAATCCAGCAGTCTCCCGGCCAAACATGTTTTCGCACGACCGGATAGCTCGCAGATAAGTAGCTCGATTTCACCCATTTGCAAATATGAGGGGATTTCAGCTTTTTTTTTGAAATCATCAATGTAATTATCAAAAGCGCTGCGGCGCCCTCCTTTATCTGTTGTGTGTTATCGCCCTCTCCCATGTGATCACCTTATATGTTGTTAGACAAGTTGAGGTATAACACCTTCTCTGACATCCTCCGAATGCAGTACTCCCATTTTGCAGTATTGCTTTTAGATTGTTGCCTTTCCCACTAATTACATCAGGATGGTCTGGGTTGCCGGTTTTTCTAAGCATAATGAAACTGTGCTGTGAGTGCACTGCGGTGGCTAACATTCCATTCGTTCCTGTTTTAGAAATTTGTTAACTTTTATTGTGTTTCCTAACGCATGCTTTTTTGCTGAAAATTTTGTACCGCTGGAGAGAAATTAACCGTTTTCTTGTGTTCAGTCGACATCCGGAGTGAGCGTCAACCCCGACGTCCAGCGATCGTTTCAACGTCTCGCCGATGGCAAGGAATACAGATACATAATCTTCAAAATTGAGGTATGCTAATATTTTATAAATCACCTTATAAGTAGCACAGTGCTACCTATTTCAATGGCCTGTAACTGTCAGAGTACTTTGCTTATTGTAGTTTATAAAATGCTTCTCAAGTTATGCATTTAGCAGCTTTTCCAGTTGCTTTAATCAATGCTCTATTGCCGATGGTCAGCTCCCGGGCAGTCCTGACTTTTGTCTTTTTTACAAGTTACCATCTCAGCAGTTCTCCCAACAAATGTGTTGAGATGTAATTGGTTTGCGTTGAACCTCACTATTTCGTCTC